TATATAGAATAATTAGGGAATAATTAACAGAGGAAAGGCTCAAGTATTAAGAGGGTTATCAACAGTGTCAAAGGTTGCAGAGAAATCAAGAAAAATGAGGACTGAGAAAAGCCATTGGATCTAGGCATGAAAAGATCACTGGGGATTTTGGAGAGGGCAGTTTCTGTGGGGTGATGAGGTTGGGAGCCATATTGAAAGGGGTTAAGAAGAGAGTGAGAGGAAAGACAATGAGGTATCTCTTGTAGTATATGTAGCAATGTCCCGGAGATGAGGGAATGAATGCACTGGTTACTCAATTTTCAGGGCTAAAGAACGGATCCTATTTTAGTCACTACCTTGAAAGGTTTATGGAACAAGTTGTTCACTTTAGACAAACACACACACACACACATCTCCCATGAGTACCTCTGAAAATAATGCCCATCAATTTCAGATGATTCATCATGATGAAAATATAATTAAATTATCTGATAAAATGTCTTTAGCGTTGGTGAAGGGTTACAAAATGTCTTCAACATCAACATTTAAATCTAAAAAGCCTATTTAACTCCTAATGTGAAAATGAGGCTGTTTTCAAGGAGTTTAAACTATAATAATTCAACAAGAACAATAAAGAGGCCAAAAAGAACGCTAGTCTAAGAACAATGTTTGTAAAGAATGATGACAATTATTTTTCTATTGTTAAAAGAAGGAAATTGTTCAAATTATTCAATAATTGAAAAAGGGGGGAGGGGGAGCTATGCAAACCATGCTGCTTTGAATGTGTATGACATTAATCATCAAAGTTGGTCCATGAGCATAGATTTCCCATGGTTCCTTAGACTTTCTATCTTTACCTCTAGCTCTGTTTTGCTCAGTGATTGCAGCCATTGATCATTCCCTTTTAAAGACTGGGGCCTGGGGATGTTGTTTTTTTTTCTAATTTTACAGTGAACCCCATCCACTGCCATGCACACATGGATGCATAAGTGTCCATGGTGATGATCTACATGTGTTAATTATTATCCTCATTCACCTAGTACCTCTGCCACTCATCCTAGGAGAGCCAATTTGGAAAGGCTTTTGAAAGAGGAATATAAAGCCTACTCCTCCAATCGTCTACGGATCTGTGGTTTCAACAGTGCTGCCAGGCCATCGCTACTACAGATGTTTGTTGCCCAGAGTATGGCTTGAACCCAGTGGGGCAGGATTGGACTGTATCTCATTTGGATTACACAGTCACTTGCTTCTTCACTCATAAATGAATGCCAAGAGAGGCAGAAGAATGAAGGTAGGAGCAAATAAATATAAGCCATGAATATGGACTACTAGAGACCCCAGGAAGCAAACCATGTGCTCCATGATGATGGTGTATGCAAAGGAAACCAAAGGCAGCTAGGTGGTATAGTGGGTAGAATGCTGCGCTTTGAGTCAGGAAGGCCTGAGTTCAAACTCAGCCTCAGGCACTCACTTTGTGACCTCAAGGAAGTCATTTAACCTGTTTGCCTCAGTTTCCTCAACTGCAAAATTGGGATAATAATAGTGCCTACCTGCTAGAGTTATCATGAGGATCAAATGAGACAACATTTGTAAAGTACCTAGTATACAGTCGGTGCTCAATAAGTACTTGTTTCCTCTCCCCACCCTTCCCCCCTCCAAGCCCACAGGAGAGCCACATCTGCACAACTTCTTACCAGGTTATTTCAGAAGGTACAGCTGACCCCAAATCAATTCCCTAGAGGCAAGCTTTGCTAACCTAGGCAACACGCTTTGCTCATCTCCAAGTCTCAGCTCCAAAGCTTTACAGGTTGGTAGTTGCAGAGATTGCCAGCAAGAGTCAATTTACGCAACTAAACACTTCTGGCCTCACTAACATTTACCAGTCACCCCACCTCCATCATCAGAGTGGTGCAGCTTGGGATGGACTAAGAAAGGAAACTGATTTCCAAATGTTTTCTTTAAAAATATACACATGTTGTTGTTCTCGAGTTGTTTCCGTTGTGTCTGCCTTAATGACCCCATTTGGGGTTTTCTTGGCAAAGACACTCGGAGTGTTTTGCCATTTCCTTGCCTAATTAATTTTTCAGATGAGAAAACTGAGGCAAACAGGTTTAAGTGACTTGCCCATGGCCACATAGGTAGTAAGTGTTAGAGGCCAGATTTGAACTCAAGAAGAGGGGTCTTCTTGACTCCAGGCTTGGTGCTCTACCTATTACACCACCTAGCTGATGCTTTTGTTTTTGGTGAGACAATTGGGGTTAAGTGACTTGCCCAGAGTCACACAGCTAGTGAGTGTTATGTGTCTGAGGCTAGATTTGAACTCGGGTCCTCCTGACTCCAGGGCCCATGCACACTGTGCAACCTAGCTGCCCTAGCTGATGCTTTTTAAAAAATGTTGCCATTTCCCCAAATCCTTCCCACTTCTGCCCCCTCTTAGAATCTTTTCTCATAACAAAGAAGTACAGATAAACATAAGTAACCAAAATATTAGGGTCAGCCTACACGCCTCATTCTGCACACATCATCCCCCGCCTTTCCAGTGAGGGACAAGGCAGGTTTCTTTATGAGTCCTCTGGATTCATTACTTTGATCAAAATTCCAATATCTGGGGGTCATTGTTCAATGCAGTTTCCAAGGAATGCAAGAAGGGAAAAGATGGGGTTCCTTTTGGGCTTAACAAAATAAAAAGATGTCCAAGCTGAACTTTGAAAGGGGATATGTTGAACTCAAGAGTCTCATGTGATCTGGTACCAATGGTCACCTCTATTTGCACAGATAAAAACAGATGCCACCAACATTTAAAATGAACCAGGCCACCAACATTTAAAATGAACCAGGCCACTTAGAATAAAAAGCCAAGAAGACAACAGGAGGGGAAAGCATTTAAAATGAATCAGGAGAAGGGAGTGTAGATGGCATGAGTGCCATCATCTTTCCTGTCACCTAAGTTCTTGCCCTCCAAGGCACAAGGGGATCTTCCCTCTATTTTCCCACTCCCCAAATCCTATCAATTGCCAAGTCTTCTTTTTTGTCTGCTTCCATCTGCACAAATCTCTTGAGTGCATTTTACCTACACACACCTATACGACCACCCCTCTAGTTCCAGCCTTCATCCCCTTACACCTGGACCACTGCAGTGACCTTGCAATTGGCCTCTCAGTTTCCAGTATCTCCCTTCCAGGATACATTCTCTATTTTGCTGCCAAATTTACATTCCTTAAACACAATTTTGACCACATCACTTGCCTAGCCCCAAATCACCAGGGGCTCCCTAATTCTTATGATAATAGAAAATCCTCAACCTGAACTTTAAAGCCTTCCAGAATGTGACTCCCGCTTCTCTCCTGCATGGTTTCATTTGGTTCCTTCTGCTCCCATCAGACTGGCTGGCAAGCTTGGCTTTCTGGGCAGTCAATTCCATCTCAGACCTCAGGGGCTGGATGCTCCCCCTCCACACCTCCACCTTCCAGACTCAGAGCTGGTGGCTGCTTCCTGTATGAGGTTCTCCTGATCCCTGCAGCTGCAACTTTTTTCTGCCTCTTGAAATTGTTTCCAAAGACTTTTTAGCATCTTTGTATTTTCACTTCCGGGTGCATCTTTCATTACTGACTACTGATAGAATGCAAGCTCCTTGAAGGCAGGGATCATTTCATTTTTTGCCTTAGAATTCCCAGAAGCACGTAATTCAGCGTCAGATAGACACATAGCTAAATCAACCATTTATGAGGCACTTATATTGTCCCAGACACTGCACTCAGCCTTGGGGATACACATGGAAACAAACAATTGAGTGCCTCTGCTCAAAGAGCTAAATTTGAGTGAGGGAAGGCATTGTGCAAGCATGGGAGGTGCTCATTTGGAGGAACAGTGGAAAAGCTGCAGAAATTGGCTTTGGGGCCCACGATTTGGCTAGATAAGGCAAAAGCCTCATCCGTCATATTCAAAGGGAACCAGGAATGGGGTCCTCAATTCTAGAGGGATGAAGAAGGTCTGAGAGTGAGGCCATATGGTATCCAGTACTTATCAAAGCAAATATTTGTGGAATTTCATCAAAATTTTTGGATGCACACACTAAGCTAGCAGAAAATGTTTTTTATCATTCATGGTGGGGGTGGGGTGGTCAGAAGCAATGACTATGCCATGGTTAAATATGCTACAGCTAAAACTTGGACTCATTCATGAACATGAAATTAGAGCAGCCACTGGTAAAATTTCAATGCAGCTTAAAAGGTCTTCGTATGGATTGCGACCAATATTTTCCTAAATTTATAATAAAACAAATGTCACCTAAACTTCTAATTTCAAAAATCACATGCATTTTTTTTATTACTGGTAATATGTTACAAAGAAAGTGTGTAGATAAAAGTCATGCTTTAGATGTTGAAGAAACAATCACTTCAGAAAGAAAAGATCCTTTCAGACACTTCTTCAGGAAGTGAAGGCTGCCTCCCCCAGCAGAAGAAGCTGTGGCCAACCCAAAAAATCCGACTGTAGGAGGAATGATGGACTTTGGGCACGACCCAGGGACATGCCTACCTAAATGAAAGCACTTTGAAATATTGCCTTGATTATCGCAAGAACCTTGTTCCTAATTTTTTCAAGTAAATCTAGGTTACCAGATTTTCCGTGCTGATGTACTTACTACACTTCAGTCCTTGGAAAGATCAGCATCTCCTGCTATCCCATAGAAATGTCTCTTGGAACAGATATTAGCCAATCATTGAAAAGCTAAGCCTTTGTAAGTATCTCAGTTATGTGAAGATTCTAATTAAGGCTTGCATTCCCCCAATTATAAAGTCTTCATAGAAACCTGGCATTTCCCACACATCCATACGATCTTTTGTGACTCTGCCATATATCTCATTACCAAAGGCAAGCCGTTGCCTACTACCATCCCCCCTCTGATTTCCTCATGCAAAACCTGTGATGCTTCCTGAAATTTCCAAACTTGACTTTTCCCTGGGGTGGGGGAGGGGAGTGGAGAGACACAAGAGGAAATAGAAACAGAAAGAAGAGCTTACCCCCGGAGAGGAGGGGAGGTTTACTTTTGACCAAGGGGCTGGAATGAGGAGCTTGGTTGCTAAAGGATGTGAAGAGGTGGGCACTGAAGTCATCAGGGAGCTCGGCCTCCAGAAATGTTTTCATGAACAGCTTGAAACCTTCAAAGTCTATGGTCTGCAATGGAAGCAAAGGTTTTAAAAATATGAATGCAAAGATTAGTTGGCTGCCCCATGGGATTGTCATTAGAAACACTAAATTACCCATGATGATACCTCTAATGTTCAAGTTGTGTGATGAAGATTGATGAAGATTGATGATGATGATGATGATGATGATGGTGATGGCAATATTAGGTTCCTTTCTCCAATACTTTTTAGACTCACAAAATACATTATATACACTATCACGTTTGACCACAATGACCCTTATGAAATAGGTAAGTGATATATTTTCATTCTCATTTTACAGGTCTGGAAACTAGCTCACAGAGGTTAACTAGATTCCCCAAGGTCTCTCAGTTGTAGGAGGTGGCAGGGCTGGATTCTCTGTTGTCCCTAGGATATGGTTCTAGTAGGGATGTTTTCAGGACTGTTCTGACAGTGTCATTGAGCCATCTCTAAACAAGGACATATTTTCCTCCCTTCAAATTCTATCCTCACCATTTAATCATTTAACCATCTTTTACTGAATGTTTTGGGGGGGTTTCAATAATTGTTGAGTCTGTGATGGCTTTGAGGTAGAGTCTAGAATGTTTACACACAATTAAGTTTGGAATCATCTATCTTTGAGGAAAAGATGCTTGTATTGCAGAGAAAATGTTCAGCTCCACAGTTGAAATCCCTTAATCACACAAGCCAAGCAAATCCCAATGGACAAATCACTCACTGGATGATTTTGCGTATAAACTCACATGTATCTATGCAGGAGCACGCATCTACCTGGATAGAACATGCACAGGCCTCTTTCCACATAAACAAGCTGCATCTCTACATGTCTGCAACACACATGTTTCTTCATGGGTCAGTTTATCACCTGGTGTGCACCCTTTCCATTATTTTTCAATGAACCCATGATATCATCAATTTGGAAGTTCCTTCCCCCAAAATGGATATAACAACACATTTTTGTGCTCTCAGTTGGTGCTGCTCTCAACAATGGCCTCGTGTCAATTTGGGGAGGGGACCCACCCACCAAACTGGAGGCCTGGAAACACTTTCTCTTAATATCACAACGGTAAAGTACCTGACACATAATAGGTGCTTAATACATGCTTTGAAGAAGGAAATAGAAAATCACTCCAGTTTCTTTGCCAAGAAAACCCCAAATGGGGATCACAAAATGTCAGACACAGCTGAAATGACTGACCAACAATATATGCTTGCAGGTTGACTGAACAGTGCAGTATTCTGGCTATGTGAGCGTGACACACACCACCACCTTCGACAAATGACCAGCACACCAAATGACATTTTCAGTTGTTATTTTTTAGAATTCTTCCTTAGTTATATCTTAGTCGATTGTGGCAGCTTCTCCACAGTCCTCCTAGCAGCAACAGCAACAGTAGTAAAGTAGTAGTAGCAGTAATAATAAAGTAGTAATAAAGTAGTATTAGTAGTAGTAGTAGTAGTAGTAGTAGTAGTAGTGGTAGTAGTAGTAGTAGTAGTAGTAGTAGTAGCAGCAACAGCAGCAGTAAATATCACTTTAAGGTTTGCAAAGCATTTCACAAATAGTATTCCTTCTCATCCTCACAATAGCTCTGGGAGGTAGATGTTATTATTATCTCCATTTTACAGAGGAGTGACTTGCTCAGGGTCACACAACTAGTAAGTGCTTGGAGCTAGATTTGAGCTCAGATCTCTCGAGTCCAGGCCCAATGCTCTGTCCACTGTGCCATCAGTTGCCTCTGTTTCCTCTTTAGGCACTCTTGTAACCCATTTTGTGCTGCCATACAGAAATGCACATGCACACACACACGCACACACACACACGCACACACGCACACATTCACGTACACACACACACACACACACATTTTCCCTTTCTCGGAAAGCTTGAACTCATTTAAAATAACTTTCTAATTCTCCAAAGATGATTCAGGCCACTCTTCTCCTTATTCAATTCTGGACCCAACCAGCTCTTGGTATATACACACTGACGAACAAGTTGTCTGGGTTGTTCATTCAAAAGCATATTGTCATGTGGGCACAAACATTCATCATCTGCTTGATCTTTCTGGTGTAAATGATCAAGCCAAATTCCTTCGATAACTCATAAATCCCTTGTAAGACGCACTTCCAATAGGGCAGGACTTGATGCTATCAGCATGTCATTCAACCACAGGAACATCTGGAAGGACTCATCCACAGAGAATCACTCGAACTTGAACCCTCGGCTAGAACCCCTCCATCCCATTGGCGAGAAGGCACCCCCCTGTTTTATTCTTCTTTTCATGTACATGATCAGAGGGCCTGCAAAAGGTACCTTTTCTTTTGTTTTATTATTCATTGAATTTTGGATGGTTTTGATATGTGCTAGACACATTGCTGAAAGAGAACCTGTAAGGCAAGAGTTTGCTCCCCTGGACCAAATGACGTTTTCATAAGCAATAAGCATAGTGAGATCTTGTTTTCTTTTAATTTTTGAGTTATGAGATGGTAGGAAGGTGGTGCACGGTTGGATCTCCTTGGTGAGAGCCTGCTTGCTCACTACTAATACCTTCATTTAAATGATATACATGAGATAGAGATAAAGATGATCATCACCAGAGTCTTGGCCAGCAAGTTAACCAATCAATCAATCAATTCATAAACCTTTGTTAAGTTCCCGTATGTGCCAGGTACTGTGCTGGAAGATGAGGGTACAAACACAAAAGGAAAATGATCGCTGTCCTAGAGGAACTTTCAATCTGGCAAAGAAAACGGTGTGAGCATCTGCTGGCATATATGAATTAGATAAATTATAATTGGGAAGGGGAGGGAAGGCACTATCAGCAGGGATCAGGAGAGGCCTCTCTTGTTCTGTTCATCCTTCACTTTCGAACCAGTGACATCACAGGGTGACGTCATGATTCACCCACGAATTGGACTTAAGTGAGGTAGAGCTGTGTGAAGCTGGCAGCCTCACTCCCCCTTCCAGTCACTGAAGTCTAGACAAAAGACATCTGTCAAAGGCCTGGGAGGCAGTAGATGACCTTGGTGATTTCCATGTCTGATGAGCTCTAAGCACCCCGCAGCGTTGTTGAGATAAATTGTTCTCATGAACCTATCCCACCAGGGGAAGTTTTCACATGCTTGGGGTAGACATACCCTTCACTCGCCGACAGGTTTGTGGCATGTCAGTTACTCTTAAGCTGGGTTAGCCCGTCTGTCGAGATGGTTTTACCAGGGTGTGGCTGCTGAGCATGCTACAGCTTCTTGGAGACACAGGTGAGAGCTGAATGCCAGGTAGACGTCAAAGGTGGATGAGCAGACTCAGAAAGGATTCAGCAAGCCCTCACATCAGAGATGCTAGTCCTCCTGAACGCCCCATACACCAGAAGGCAGCTAAGTGGCACAATGGATCTAGAGTTAGGAAGACTTTAGTTCTAATCTCACCTTAGACACTTACTAGCTCTGTGACACTGAGCAAGTCATAAAACAACAAAAACAACAACCAAATCTATTTGCCTCAGTTTCCTCAACTGTAAAATGGAAATAATAACAACATTTCCCATGCAGGGCTTTTGTGAATATCAAATAAGATAATATTTTAAGGCATTTATCACAGTGCCTAGCACATAGTAGATGCTTAATAAATGCTCGTTTCCTTCCCTTATTCTCTTTCCTTCCTTCCTTTCTTTTCTTTCCTTCTTTCTTGCCTTCCTTTCTTCTTTCCCTCAAATTTACTCCTCCTCCAAATGTCCACATTTCTGTTGGGGATACCACCAGCCTGCCAGTCATCTACATTCCCATCTTTGTCAGTTTCTTCCACATCTGCCAGAGTTCACCTATCACCATTGAACATTTTTTTTTTATGATAACTACATCAGGTGGTCTCGTGATGCCTCGATCTCCTTCTCTCCACTATAGACTCAAGGCAAAGCCAATATCCCATCACACTCCAACTCTAAGCTCATCAAAGTCATGTGTTTGGTCAGAGGACTCCTCACTTCAGGAAGAGGATGGCCCCTGGAGCATGGGCCTTCTCCAGCTCCCATACAGCGCCATTGCTGCTTGTGAAAATCTTGGCCTTAAATTGAAGAAGATGACTCCGGTGGTTGTCAGTGAGAAGATTCAGATGAGGCTGGGTGATTGATTTGTCAGTGGGTTGGGTTTTGAGAATCTAATGGTGGCTTAAAAACATAAACAGGACAGGACAGATTTTGCCCAATCTGCCTCTGAGATGTTTTCTAAGCAGCAGCCTCAGGCTTGTGAATGAGCTATTCGGGAAGACAGCAAAATAGAGACTGAGCCGGGCCGGGAGACTTCAGGGAGTGCTCCATAGCTGCGGCCAAGCCCATCCCCATTTCAGATCACGTTCCCCAGTTCTCAGTTATTTCAATCTGACCATCTGGAGCTTTTTGTGAGGATGGTTCTGTCACTAGTAGAGAAATCACAATATCTCACATTTATATAGCATTTCCCAGTCCATCCAAGTAGCTTAGAAGTGAATTAAAACAAAACTCATCCGTCTGGGATTGTTTTAATAACTTCTGGCTGCTACTTGGGCATTTCTGTATGGTGCTATAGAAGAAATAATCTTCATGAACCAAACAGACCACATGCCATTATCCATTTTAGTTTTATAAATGTACTCCTAGACACCGGGGGATGAGCGATCTCCTTAGTGTGGGCAATTCCTCCAAAGACGCGAATTGCAAACCATCCTTACCTGCCTATTTCATGCATCTCTTGTCCGAGTCTGCCCTTAAATTTCCTTAGAAAGAACTCTGCCACTCATCACCTTTGGGCCTCCTTATTCTTCTCTTGGTGTCATCGGCTTTCATTCTTTCATCTCTTGTTCTTGCTCCAGAGTGAAGGCCATCAGGAAACCTGCTGGGTAGTACATACCTGACACTGGAGCCAGACAGTGAATTTCTGAGATTCAAAGGACAGATGAGGCTTGGCAGATGTCATTTCCTGAGCAGAAGTGACCATTCTACTCATCTGTCAATCTGTGAACAGGTAAGTGTTTAT